ACCTTCAATGCCTCTAGTGGATAGCGACGAAGTGTGACTTTGGATTTTGTTTCTTCCCTCATCCCAGTAGTGGTGATCAGCTGCCATCTTCAGCCACCTTGTTTAATAACTTGTCCAGCTGTTGTGAATAGCCTGGATGGTTTTTAACATCCATCAGCAATTTGACTTATCAAATGAAATTAAGATTTTTTTTTAAGTTAATATTCTATCTAATGAATTATTCTTAAGACACATTTGCTATATACTTTTTTTTTTTCCTTCTTCTCTTTAGCGGGATCACATTTTGGAAACTTTACAAGCTTTGTACCAGGAACAGAATTTTGACAATTCAAGTTGTCTTTCACGTATAATTTATTATACCATAATACATAACTCCATCCACAGAGGTGTTCTGTCATTATCTGATAAATTGTGAATTAAGACAGTAGATTTGAATGGGAATATATTTGGCCTCTTCTTGAATGAGATTAAGGTATTTACATGTASACAATCAGTTGCAAGATCTTATTATACATTTGTAGTCCCCTAGGGTGTTTTGTGATTCGGCAAGAGTTAACTAAGTCAGAAACATCCTGTGGTTTTGCTAGTTCTTGGTTCAGTTTGGTTCAAATGTTTTTGAATAAGTGCTGCTGAAAATGTGAAAGCTTTTAGCAAATGTTTTCAAAGTAGTATATGTTGAATATATATTAAAAACAGATTTTACTCAGTTTGTCAATAATGTCATCTCTACTAATAAGGTAACAACTGATTGGTTCTCACAGAGGAAACTGCACAGCAAACAAGATGGAGAGGAGGGAACAGAAGAAGACACAGAGGAAAAGTGTACCATCTGTTTGTCTATATTAGAGGAAGGTGAAGATGTCAGGTAAATAGTACCATTGAATATCAGAGTATAATGCAAATGCTGTGCTTTGGGTMCATACTTWGTTATGGTAGACTACTCTTTGCAACACTTAATGTTTAGCTGTAGCTGTTACCCTGTGATCTGTCATTGTAACCAATAAATAAAATGAATATTGATGGTATTGGAGGAGCTCTTTAGAACTATTATTACAGCAGCTTCATAATTTTAGCGAGGTTGGTGAAGCTTGGGGACATGGTAGGGGAGGAGGAGGGAGGAATGTGCAGTACAAGAAGAGTAGATGCCTTAATGGCAAAATTCACATTAACATTTTTTTTCAATGTGTGTGTTGATATTTACATGTGTTATTAATGTAAATCTTTTTCTGTTCTAATGACAGACGCCTTCCATGTATGCACCTTTTCCACCAAGTATGCGTAGATCAGTGGTTGATCACTAACAAGAAGTGCCCCATTTGCAGAGTGGACATTGAGGCTCAACTGCCTAGTGAAAGTTGACATCGTTTTCCAGAACTCTTGTCCTCCCTCTCACTCCCTTTCATCCTTCCTGGTACTGCAGTCAACCAAAGATGGCATGACTTACCTGCGCAGATTTGGAAGCATTGAACCTAGAGTGCTGGCTCTGCTATATGGTACAACTAATGCTAGACCTACAGTTTATGTAGACAGTTGAGTTTCAATGTATTTATAAAACCTCTTTTCTTGTTTAGGTTCTACGTTTTTTTTCTTTTAATTCATTACTGAATTTTTGCATGGTTCCTTGTATTGCATTTGTTTGCACATATTATGGGCTTTGTGATCCCAAACTTGCAGGCAAGAATAGCTGCTTTAGTAAGTAGAATTGTGTGGTCTCTTTTTTTGGTTTGTTTTATATAGTATCGAGCTTTGAAAATATGATTTCACTCATTACTAACCTCGAATTCCTTAATTTAATCCTATATTTTAGTTTAATGTATAAAGATCATCTAGAAAAGGATAATATTATGTATTGAGACATTCCTTAATTAGGAAAAAATGGCTGCTGTATATTAACAATATCAGTTCTGAATTAAATACCATCTTTAATACTGGGAACAGAATATGAACTATCTTCAGTCTGACTGATACATATAGCATACTCATCGCCAGAGTTTTGTCTGATCAGATTTTTGTGTTTGTTTTAAACTTTCAGCACAATGCAGATATATTTGAATGTCAATATTAAACATTTAGACTGCTGTTCAGATTGTATTTATCATTTTCTTCCTATGTCTAGAAATTTGAATCCCTAACTTAATATTTGCTGCTGTGAAACAGCTCTAATGAACACTAAATGTTGATTTCAGTTAGCTGGATTGTAGATACTTGCAGATGGAAAGAGTTTGTAGGGAAATGGAAGAACTTAGTCTTTGGTCTTCTGCTAACTTAAGTTGAAGTATCTGCACACTTTTTTGTTGTTGTGTATTTTTATATATATATATAAAACCATTCAATCAGGACTTAGAGCTGCAGGGTGTGGTGGATTTTTTTTTTTTCTTTGATGGTTGTTTTCTGGGGGAGGGTTATTTGGGGGGAAGGGGCAGATATACATACGTTCATAGAACTTCTAAAGATCCCAGGCTCATCTTGGGATTTTTATTAGTTTTAAAGTTAATAAATTTAGCTAAATTCACCTGTCTCTTGTTTTATTTTTTATTAGTAAATTGAAAGCCTGTAAATTTCTGTAGAAACTGAAACACAAATGTGGTTACCTAGTTTTGCCTTGATCATAGATACCCTCTTTATAAATTACCAACAGTCCATCACTGATTGAAATATTTTCTATAGTTAAGATTTGCTGCATAATATAGTATATAGAACTAAGTTATAATATACTAACATTTTTGCCTTTGGAGGAAGTTTTAATCCACATCAGGACTCAAGTTGCTTATCAACATTCTTTCACACATAATAGAATAGTTTATTTAAATGTGCTCAATAGATGCTGAAAACTGCAAGAACATTGAGACAGCATTACTGTCACTTTGGAAAAGATGTTTCTAGGGGATCATATGTGAACATGTCAATAAGCTTGCATTAAGCCACCTGCTTTGTAAGTGGATCAAGTAATAAATACATTTAGTTTCTCTTGTCTTTGTCTTTCATATTCAGATAAATGTAAAACAGTTTACAGTAAACCTAGAAAATGAAATGTTATGTTTACACTAGAAAAAGATCCATTTATAAATATGACCTTATCTAATTTGATGCCTGTTTTTTCGTCTTGTTAAAGCTGCTTCCCTTTTTATTTTTTTTTTATCTGTTAGGAGTAGCATTTTCCAATGCAGTGTCGATTGCTGGCAACAGACTTACCACCTCTGGCACTGAGGGAAGCAATTTTTATTCCAGTGTATGTGATAAGTGGACATTTTCAGGCTTAACTGCGTTGCTAAAACTGAACTTAAAAACCACTTTGTGTTTGTAAGATAGGGCATATGGGAGAGAGGCAAAATGTCATTTGCTTGCTTCAAAACCTGACATGGTTTTATGCTAAAGCTTGTTGAGCATGGTGGCTGCAGGAAACTGAAAGTGGGTATGAAATTGAATCTGCATTGGTAAAAATGAATTAAAAAAAAAAAAAAAACTGGAAGAACTGGACAATAGAAACTTCCCGTTCTTCAGTGACCATTGGAAAGGAGGGAAGCTGGTTGACCAGCAGTGCTTGAAGTCTGATGATATTCACTTCTGTCAAAGTTTCCAAGAAGGTACTGGTGAGACATGGAGTGAAAACAAAACAAACAGGGCCTATAAAATAATTGAGACCCTGCTTATGTGATGGAATCCGTTTTGGCTTCCTTACAGGACTAAGAAGCACAGGTTTTGGGGATATTTTTTTAGGAATTATTTTATGCACCTGCTTTGGGTGCCTGGTACTAGAGGCATTTTAGTGGCCCATGAATTGAATTGTTTAATAACTGCTACTGATACTGTCTTGCTTTTAAATGTATGCATTGTAATGTGATGTTGAACACTTAGGTATTTGCCAGAAATCAACGTGTTCTGGTCTTACATGCTATTGCAGGGGCTAATAAAGCTGCAGCCTACTTCTAGTTCAGAAAGTTGTGACTTGACCATAATTTAAGGGAAGGAAAATGAATAGGCTTTTGATTTTGAAAATTTCCACCACTTACTGTGCTTTACATGCTTAGATGCATTGCCTTAAGTTTTCTGCAGCATCTTTGACTTTGAGGATGAGATTCTCAACAGTATGCATCAGATTACTTTTCATATAAAATTCCATTGTCAAAAGAAATCCTTTTGTATGCAATAAATAAAATGTTAGACTGGTATCATTCAAAACCTGTTTCTTATGCAAGTTTTTTTTTTTCCTTTTTTGTCTTTTTGCTTTTATAAGTTTTCATCTGAAAAATATTTTGTGTGCCTGTGTTCTTGCTGATGGTGTCTAAGGGGAAAATACACCCAGGGCAGGGGCACTCCTTAGCTCGAGCTAAAGCTGTTGATAGTTGGTATGTCACTGAACTGCCAACCAGGAAAGTTACCAAAACGGGGACTTGTGCCGGACAAAGCCAGGTGTGGGCGACTGCAACATACGTGTGCAGCAGTGCCCGGGGTGCTGGGAAAGGGCAGCTGCTGCGTTATCGAGCAGCCAGGGCTCAGTTTGACTTTAATCTCCGCCTAAGCGCTGCTGTTCAGGAAAGCCCGGCGTTTCTTGCCGAGAGCCCCAATCGGCTCCTGACGGGGGCGCTTGAGCGGCGCGCGCCTCCCCCGGCTCGGGCGGCGCTGCTGCTCCTGCTGTCCCCCCGGCCCCGCCGCCCCGCGCACGCGGTTCCGCCGCCTCAGCCGCACGGGCGGGTCCCCGCGCGCGCCGTGGAGGGCGGCCCCGCCCCCCGCCCGGGAACGGCCGCGGGCACGTGCGCGAGCCCGCGCGCAGCTCCCAGGGGGCCTTGCGCCGCCTCCTCCCCCTCCTTTAAAAGGCCGGGGAAGGGCAGTTGCTGTTCGGGGCGGGCCTTGGGCGGCGGGCCAATGAGAGGCGTGCATCGTACGAAGCTGCCCAATAGGAGCGCGGGCGGGGCGGCGGCGCGAGGCGGCAGTCGGCGCTCGCGGCTGAGGGAGCAGGAGCTACCGCGGGTCCCCGAAGCCGCCGCCGCCGCTCCCGCTCCTCCCGCTGCCGGCCTCCCGCTCCCCGCGCCCATGGCGCTGCTGCGACGTCCCGCCGTGAGTGCCGCGGGCAGCGCCGCGACGGGCGCGCGGGGCCCGGGCGCTGCGGCCGCCGCCGCCTGCCCCGGGAGCCCCCGCTGGGAGCCAGGCGGGGGAGGGGCGGTCCGGGCCGCTTTCCGTTGGGCGGGGGCCGAGACCCCCGGGGACCCGCGGGGCGCCGCGCGCGAGGGGGGGGGCGCCGCGCGGGTGTCCCGGGCTGCGGCGCGTGCCGAGGGGGAAAAGGGAGCTGAGCTGAGGGGGAACGGCGCTAAGGTGAGCGAAGGCGGCGGGAGGTTCCCTCGCGTGCGCCCCAAACGCTGCGAGCAGCGGGTGAGCGCGGGGGCTCAGCGGCCCGGTCCTGCCCGCGGTTCCGCCTTCCGTCACCTGCGGCCGGGGCTTCCCGGGGCCTTTCCCGGGCACCTGTGCAGGGCGCAGGGCCGGGTAACGGGCCGCACCTGCGGGCGATGAGCGTTGATCCTCTGGCTACGAAATGAGGCTGGTGCCTGACTTGTGTCCTGTGGCTTTTCCTGCTAGATCCCCAGAGGGGCTGAGAATGCAGTGAATGAACTGAACTGTAAAGCCAAGATGCAGGTGACTGGCAAAAGGGCTGCTTTGGAAGAAATAGGAAACAAAGTTTCAACACGAGGGACCCATGTATCTAAGGTAAAGCAATGTTTAAGTCTCCCACATAGGGAAAGGCGAGTGACTGGATTTATACTGATAGCTGTTGTTATCCTTACAGAAAACAGAACACTTAAAGCCACCTATAAAGCATACAAAAGGTCCTAGTAAGATGATAAAATCAGTTGCACTGCCCAAACCACCAGCTGTTGTGAATCAAGTTTCCAAACAAACAGGTGCTCCAAAGGTAGGAAGTAATGATTTTCTTCTGATTGTTATTTTCACTCTGGTTACTTGGTGCTTTAACCCTGCTTTCTYTGTAAGAGCATCCCATTTCCCTGGTGAAAAAGCCTCTACTGAGCTTTTTTTTAGTAAATGCTCTACTTAAAGACAAATATTGAAGTAGCAGAATTATCTATTGAAGTATTGACTGAAAATTAGAAGTTCTCCTTTAGCAGGCAGTTACCAAAAGGTCTGCTGTTTCCGTATGGCATCTTGGTGGAAGCTTGCCCAGCTAGCATACCAGAGATCTTTTACATATTTGTATTAGGAAGAAGTTGTATTAGTAATTGAAAAACAAGGATTGCAGAAAGACCATTATCTAATCCGTAGATATGGAAGTGCTCTAACCTGTTTGTTAGGTTTTGTCTCCCATTCCAATGGATGTGTCTATGCAAGAAGAGGATTTGTGCCAAGCCTTCTCTGACGTTTTGCTCAACAACGTAGAAGACATTGATGCTGAGGACTGGGAGAACCCCCAGCTTTGTAGCGACTATGTGAAGGACATTTATCTTTACCTGAGACAGCTCGAGGTAGGCTGGCCGCGCGCCGGCCGCTCGCCCCTGCGGGCAGCATTGCTGTGGCAGCTCACACYGCTCGCGCTCGCTCGCTCTCTCTCTCGCAGCTGCAGCAGTCGGTGCGGCCCCGTTACCTTGACGGGCAGGCGATCAACGGGCGCATGCGCGCGATTCTAGTCGACTGGCTCGTCCAGGTGCACTCGAGGTTCCAGCTCTTGCAGGAGACGCTGTATATGTGCGTTGCAGTTATGGATCGCTTCTTACAAGTGAGTGTCTTAAGGGTTTTTTCAGGACATTTGGATTCGGATTGTTGCTTGCTGACGATACTTTTAAAAAATAACTTCGGATTTATTTGTTCTTTATACGTGCTGTGKGACTGAAGAACTTTTAATGTGACTTTGAAGCTCTTTGAGCTTTTGTCAGTATAGGGGCCCCCCTGTCTCAAAATGGAAAACCCTATGTATGCTCTAATAATGAGCTCTATTGAACTATTTTTTATGAACTATTAAAACAGAGCTGATTCATCTGGAGCTTGTAATTTGAGGTCTGCTTTTGTAAACCTCTCTATTGCAGAGCCATCCAGTACCCCGTAAGAGGCTTCAGCTGGTGGGTGTAACAGCACTACTTCTTGCTTCCAAATATGAAGAGATGTTCTCTCCTGATGTAGCAGACTTTGTTTACATTACTGACAATGCCTACACTGGTGATGAAGTCAGAGAAATGGAAATGGTGATTCTCAGAGAGCTGAACTTTGATTTGGGGCGTCCTCTTCCACTTCACTTCCTAAGAAGAGCATCAAAAGCTGGTGAGGTGGGTACTTGTCCTCATTATCTAGATCTCTCTATGTAAATATGGCCAGGAATGCTTCAGGCACTTGTATGCTGTCATCTGTTCTTATCCAGTATTGAGAAAAAAAGCAATGTTCAGCTGTAAAATTCCAGCATGTGGTGGCATGACTGTTGAGGTCACTGCAACTGCCGGCAACTGTTCCCATGTCTCTACTGGGGCCCATGTTTAGGCAGCTCAGTGCAGTAATTTCACAGCTACAGTAGAACAGCTGACTAGGACAGAGCCACCAGCCTTTGCCTGGGTAGAGGGTGTACTACAGGGAAAGGGTCCCTCGGCAGACCCTGGGCTGCTCTTGAGGTAAATTGATCCTTAGTAAGGAACTACTTAATTTTACACATCTGACCTCCACCTGTTTTTATTTTAATATATGGTAGAGGAAGCATTTATACCCTAAGCTGGGTATAAATGCCTAGTGCAGTTGTTTTCTGTTAACATCTCTTCTACAGTTTGGCATGTAAGCCCTCACTTCAGGCTCAATTTTGACTTGAGATAATGGTGYCACCGTGCAGCATGGCCCCTACATGCTACCAAAGCTCTTGTTGACTAGTCTTGTGTTGCCAAGTTATCTGTCCATTGACAGCCAGAATAAATGATCCTGGATAAATTTGATGAAGTAGAATTCTGTGAGTTAACAAACTTTGATCTGCTAGGCTGATGCTGAGCAACACACACTAGCAAAATACCTCATGGAGCTGACCCTGGTGGATTATGACATGGTGCAGTACCATCCTTCAGAGATCGCAGCTGCTGCATTATGTTTGTCACAAAAGATTCTGGGACATAACAAATGGGTAAGTGCTCTTTTTATTTTCCTCCACTTGGTTGAACTGAGCCATTTAAACAACTACTGGAACTGACTGTTCAGAGCAGCAGTGATGCTGGTGATCAGATGATGGTTGGATGCTGCTGGAGGCAGAATAAGGAGTATACTATAAAAACAAAGTGCAATCTCTCTTTTCATGTGGACTCTGTTGAATAAAGCGATTTTTCTTTTCTATGAAAGTACTGAGTTATCAGAGGTATAATCTGTTATTTCTGCAGGCTGAAGTACAAGATAGAAAAACTAAATCATGGACTATGTATGGTAAACTGTAATTAAATCAGTGGCTACCCTTTCAGCTGCTGCGCAGTGCAGAATTGTGTTTTCTTAACTCTGGACAGACACATCAAGGCTATCACCACAGTCTAGAAACTTGTCTGGATCTGTCTACTGAGTGGCTGGAGTGTCACCTGCCCAAGGTGACTGTGTCTCAAGCAGAAACTCTGCTTCTTCAAGAGTCTCCAGGTTTTTACTGTTATGTTGCAGGGAACAAAGCAGCAGTACTATACTGGCTATACAGAAGACAGTCTTGTGATGACTATGAAACACATGGCCAAGAATGTTGTCAAAGTAAATGAGAATTTAACAAAATACACTGTAAGTACATCAGCTCAAATTGTTTCTAATRTGTTGGTAGTATTTTTGCTCCATATTGTGAATACTTAAATGTTTTTTTATATAATGCATCTGCTACTCTGACAAGCTTGTGAGGGGCTGCTGCATCTCTTTGTCTAAAACTTCCCAAAGTTTGTGCTCTAGTCTTGCTACTCTGCGTGTTAGTTCTAACCATAGTCTTAGTCACTCAGTAGGGACAGCTGACTCAAAACTGATTCAACTTCAGTGTTTATGTATATGCAAGTCATCTTTAACACTGTGATTCCTCTACTTCTGCAGGCTATAAAGAACAAGTATGCAAGTAGCAAACTCCTGCTGATCAGCACAATCCCGCAACTGAACTGCAAGATGATCAAGGACCTCGCTTCATCACTCCTATGATATCTCTGTGCAGGCGAGTCCTCATGATCCGTGCACTTTGTCCTCACCTGCCTCTTAGGGCAAACATGCTGCTCTTTGTACATAGCCTTTCAGCCTCACCACAGACACTTCAGACTTGCTCTGAAAGTGACCTTTTAAACTTGCCTTGTAAACTATGCTATACCTAGAATAAAGCTTCTTTTAAAAAAGGAAAAAAAAAAAAAAGAAAAAAAGAAAAAAAAGTCTATTTATACTCTTTTTAAAAGAAACATTTACCCCTCAGACTACAGTCAAACTTACCAAGAGTAGGTCCTTCAATATCAACTTGGAGAGTTTTGCTTTCCTTTTTGTTTCTAATGAATGTAGGTATCTGTATGCTCAAAGGAATGGAAGTAATAGAAGTGAGCCTATTAAGTGCTCAGTACTGCTTAAGTATATCCCATTATATTCCAGTAGTTATACTGAGTTCAACGTATCCCTCTTTTTTTTTTTCCCAGTGTTTCCCCTTGTGCAGATGTGTGGGCCCTGATGTACAAGGGAGAAGCCAACGCTTTCCTACAGAAATTGGAATTGTAGGCTTTAGCTCCTTCCACAAGAGATTTTTCTCCTGTGGTATAAATAAGCCAAGAACAGCTACTGCTGTTGGATATACAATATTTGGGAGAGGGAGCAGATAGTGCCTCCCTGACTGAGCTTCTGGTTTCTACCTTCCAGTCCAGATACAGTGAAATGGCTCCTGCCACAGCTACCATTAGGAGCTCACTGACAGAGTTTGTGCTTAAACTAGACTCAGACAATGACTTGTGAGGAGGGGAAGTCAAGCTTTCTATTTGGGGGGGAGGGTGTGTGGCGGGGGTTGCATTGGTTTGGGTGTGGTTTTAGGGGAGGGTTTTTTGTTTTTTTTTTTCTTGCTATGTCTTAAGTCCTGTCATTTCTTTAATACTAACTTTTAAACCAGAAAAATACATTGCACACAGCTCTTCTCACTGCCCCCAGATGAACTGCTCTGTGTCTGGAAAGGGGATTTCTTTGGAAACCTATGCAGTAAGTCATTAAAGCTACAGTGTGAAGAGATTTGCTGCTAAACATTCCTGAAAACAAACCGCAATGAACAGGCCAGCTCTGCTGTTTCTTCTTGTGTTTTATTTTATGGAGGTTGAGAAGACAAAGCATGAACGCTGTTATCTGTGTGGCGAGCAACAGCCATTGCTAGTTGGTGTGGGAGGCAATCAGACTTGAGCAATAACACATTTTACCACTTAAGAAGAATAGTGCATATCTGTAAGTACCTGGCACAAAAATTCTAGTAAAACTACATTATGAGTAAGAACAGTGGGCTACTACATTATACATTCATACATGTTTCTACCATATTCAGATTTCTATATACAGTATATGATCTGTTTCTATAAATGTACAGCTCTGCATAAAGATACTTATAACAGGTAGAGCATTAAACATAATCCAACATGGGCCAGCCATATTCTAATATAACTCTAGGTAAAGGCATCATTATTTAGTGTACAGTACTGCAGTTTTCTCTTTACAGTGCCTGTTGGAGTCCCTAAATATATCACCAAACACAAGTCGGTTCCATTACACCTCTGTACAGAATAATTTTTTTAAATATACCATCACAGTAGATATTTAGATGGTAATATCCCAAGTGATTCTAAATCTTTTTAACATGTAGCAGCATACTTAACATGTTCCCCAGAATGATCTGCATCAGAGGAAATGTCCATTTAAGACTATCTTCATTAGATATTTAAAAAGATTACTAATATTCAACTAAAAGGCACTTATTAAATACACTCCTTTCAAAGTCCCTGGTCCCAGATTGCAAAGCACCTTTCAATTTCAGGAAGATGGAGGCTTAAGCATTCTTCACTCACTGGGTGTTATATCCAGGTTTTAAATATAATAAATAAGTTATATGTCCACTGCTGTGTCTTTCTGAGGCAAAGATGAGAGTTTAGGCTGTGGAAAGGTAACTGATTTTTCTTCCTTCTTGTTTATGACTTTACTGGTGAAAATGCTGAGAATGACAGATCTCAGAGGAACAGTATCTTGAAGGCAAGGGTAATGTGCGATTTTTCATCTGACAAATCTTTAGTCTTTTATATCTTGGTCACATAGTTGTTGGGAAACAGACCTTGTTTCCCTCGTAGTCTTCCTGTCCACCAACCAGAAGGATCTGTTAGGAAGAATGAAAGGTTAGCACTGAAGTTCTGCAATCCTTCCTCCTCCTGTCACAGCTTTCTTGTTTTCTTTCTCTTAAGATAGGCTTGCAAAACTGTTCCACACAAAGTGGAAGCCTTTTCATGAAGGACTGAAATGAATAATTTGGGGACTCTGAGTCYGATAAGCTCTTGACTGTAACACTAATGCCTAATCTGGTTGCTTTGGAAACATGAGGGAGTTGGAAGGGCTTTATTTATTACTTTGTTCCTGTGCCATAGCTGTAGTGTGGACTTCTTTTCATCCACAGCCTGTAACAGAATACTCTGTAACAAAATTTAATGGTAGAGAAATAATCTTARCAGATTTCCCTGGTATGCCTTTAAGTGCACCAGTTTAATTGTTGTAGGTGTGATTGCTTCTCTGCTCTACTTTTTGAAGTATCATAAGGATTTTCAAGCATAACTAAGGGAAGGTGTCTGGGGTAGCTGGAGAAGCCCTGTCCTAACTGATGATGACAGTGTGCCTTCAAGAGCAGTACTTCCTTTGTTACCTGTTTACGTACCTTCTCTGATGATATCAATCACATCGTTGGCATTGAAGCTGAGTTCATCTGTGTCCTGAGCGTCATACGCGTACAGCGCCCTGCACTGCGGCACCTGCGGCTTGGGCTTGGGCTGCGGTTTGGGTCTGCCCCCCGCGGGCGGCGGCCGGTTTGTCGTCTGCCTGCGAACACTAAGGAGGGGAATGACCATTAGTGCACTTCAAAGCTAGGATGTGAGTTTAAGCCCTCTGTCYGAGTCCATCGGTTCTAAAGAACATCATAGAATAAGGAAAAAGGTACTTTACACAGCAGGTAACAAGCCTTGTGTTTACATGCTTAACATCCCTGTGAAAGGGATACAGTTGTAACTTCCTCCCTGCTTAAACTGCCAGCAGCTGTTCTAGTACAGGGGCTAAGAGCTCTAGTGGTTGCGTTGAATGTAAACGTGTGCATGCAGTTCATGTGCTTTTCTGCACCTACAYGGCTTAGCTTTTCCCCACCCTGCCCCAGGTTTCCCGGAGACTGAGTTTCCAGCATTAAAGACAGTTCTAGCTGCYAGGCTTGCTACTTTACCATTCTTGTGACTAAGCTGAGAGTGATGCTGCATCTCTCTCAAGTTGCCTCAGCTTCCAGGGCCGTCTATGGACTTGTGTCACAGTCAGCTTTGAAGCAGCAGAGGGAAAGCTGCCCACACTGTCCCAGCTGGGACCACTCCAAAGATTAGGAAGGGGAAAGAAAAAAAGAATGCAGTTTGCCAGCTCATCGGCTAATAAAGGCTGGAAGAGAGAACAGGTATTAGATCCTCTATGGCGCATGGGCTTAAAAAAAAAAAAAAAAAAAAAAGAAAGAAAACAAGCTTGTGCTGAATGGCTGCATGCTGCAATGGTGGGGAAGAGGGGGAGCTGTGTTAATGCTATGCAATGCTGTGATTACAGAGCGCTGGGGGAAAAGGGGAAAAGTGTGTGGTTACTGGAAAAATAACTAAGCTGAGGACTTACAGGAGTTAAGGGCTGTATCTCATCATGATTTTATGTTGCTGTAGTGAACTGCACCAGGTGAAACTAAGGCTGCTTTAGAATGAGTTAACTAAAATACCATAGTGTTCAAAAAAAATACTATGTCTAAAAATGACCTCCTTGAGGGCTGTATTCCTGCAATCTACCAGCTCCTCTACTCCTTCCTCACACACATAGCCCTAGATCTGTGCCATGAAAAGGACCAAGCACAAATGAAATCAGCTGAAAGCTTTCGCTGAGTAGAGTGACCTTGGTTCCTTTTAAGAAGCTATGAACCTAAGTCATAGAGCTTAGGAAAAAAGCAGACATGCAAGTGTCTGTCTTCTACAGATACTGTTACTTCAGTAGAATTTCTGGGATGTTTGTTTTCATACTTTACTAGGTATGGATTTATCAGAAATTTAATAACATAAATTGTTGGAGAAAGTCCAAGAGAAGGGCCTGCTAGCAGCTCCTACATGCCCTTGCTGATTTTAAAGTGTATTTGTCTCCTGGATTGTGGTGTTTGAGCTGTAGTTGAGTTGGGGAGGTTTGAGTGTTGAGATTTCTCTATATTCTGGACTGGATTTGGAATTGATCTAGTTAAAAAAAATCACCTACGTGTTTAGCTATGTTTATAGTTGAGCCCYATGGGCGCAGCTTCCTCCTCAGAAATCCCTGCAGGCCCTACGCAGGGGCATGGGTGTGAGTCTGCATCCAACTCGGGCCACTGCAGAAGACTAGGCACGCAAGTAAGCAGGGGGAAAAGAGGCAGGTGACCCTTTCCGCCTGGCAGCGTGTGCTGCCGCCCTGGCCCTCGCTGCAGCGAGGGCCCCTTCCCCTGGCGCCGCTTGGGACAAGCTCCAAGGTGCAGCTCCAAGGTGCAGCGCTGCCTGCGGCCGCATGTGCTGCGCTGCKCGGCATGCAGCTGCAGCAGGGGGCGTGCGAGCACCGTGGTCCCTGCGCTGCAGCTCCCGCCGCGCGCTCGGCAGCTGCGGATGGGAGCGCTGCAGGGAGCCTTCCTCTGTAAAACACCCTAGAACGGGCCTGGAAGAAGCTAGCGGGGTGTGTGTGTGTGTGTGTGTGTGTGTGTGTGTGTGTGTGTGTCCGTCCGTGTCCCCTAGGCCGTTGCATGGCCTGCAGCGGATATGGGAACTCCAGCTTATGTGGTCAGCAAGGGCTGCAGGCAGATGTGAGTCAGCACTGGTGCCGCACGAGGGTGCTGGTGGCCGCGTTGCTGCAGGGAAGGGAACACCCTGAACACCCTATGGCTGAGGGAAGGGGAGGAACGGGGATGGGCTGGAGGAAGTGCTGAGAGGGGCAGCTGGGTGAACTAAAGGTTACYAGGAAGCTGTGAAAGCAGAGTGCAGGTTAGAAGAAAGTCTGAATTTCTTGT